ATCCCCGCACCCTGCTTGTGCGCGCTCCCTGTGAGCGCGCAGCACCGCGATCTGGTGCCCACTGGCTAATCAGTGATCACATGCAGAGTAGTAAGCAAGATGTCATTTCCTGACATCATTGCTTACCACGTGTGAAATCTGTGAATGATCACAGAGGTCACATGGTACAAGGCTATTCACAACAGCCTTGTACCATGTGACAAGGTGTGACCAATCTCAGCTCATTCAGTAGTTCTCAATGGCTGCAAGAATGCAGCTAGAGAGGAGAAATGATTGCTTTTACATCCTTTATGGGTGTAAAAGCAATCGGTATAAAAAAAAATAAAAAATCTTCACCACCCCCCACAAGTAGTACAGTGTCACCATGGTGACACTGTACTGCTAGGGTGACAGTATGCAAAAAATAAATAAATAATAATATCAAAATTTTTTTAAAAAACATAAATAATAATATAAAAAAAATAAAATAAAAATGTAAAAACTTTTTTTTAAAAATTATAATTTTTTAGTTATAAACTAATTTGGGTTATTTTATTTTTTTTACTAAAAATATAACAGAATAAATTTTGCCCAAGATTTATGATTAAATACTATTTATTCTCAAAATTGTATAAGAAAAACACTTTTTTTTCAAAAATTTTTGACTTTTTAATTTACATAGCAAAAAAAATAAAAATCCCCAGTGGTGAATAAATACCACCAAACTAAAGCTTTATCTGTCTCAAAGAAATGCTAAAAAATTCATATGGGTACAGTGTTGCATGACCGCGCAATTGTCATTCAAAGTGCGATAGCACTGAAAGCTGAAAATTGACCTGGAGAGGAAGGGGGTAAAAGTGTCCGGACTGGAAGTGGTTAAGGTTGCCTACCCCTGGTCTAGGGGGTCGCCTAATGATGTAATCGCCTAGGCAGCCGGGACCGGGACCGTAAAAAGGTACTTGTACAAAAACTTGTAAAATATTTATTCATTTCAGGTACTTATATAGTGCCATCAATTTACGCAGCGCTTTCCATATATATATATATATTGTACATACACATCAGTCCCTAACCCTCAAGGAGCGTACAATCTAAGGTCCCTAACTCACATTCATACATACACATACTAGGGCCAATTTACACAGGATCCACTTAACCTACCAGCATGTCTTTGGAGTGTGGGAGGAAACCGGAGTATCCCCACGCAGGCACAGGGAGAACATGCAAACTCCAGGCAGGTGGTGCCATGGTTGGGATTTGAACCAATGACCCTCGTACTGCCAGGCGGAAGTGCTATTCATTTAGCCACGGTAATATTGATAATATCCATTTATTAATGTACTGTGGCAGGGCATTATGATCAACATAAATTGTTAATATGGGTGAATATCCGCTTTAAGCTGACCAGCTTAACCTCCCTAGCGGTATGATTATTTCAGATTTTTGGTGCTGAAAGCGGGTACCATTTTTTTGCATGGAAATATGTATTTTTTTTATTGTAGGCTGTAATTTAGGAATAACTCACTGAAATCTGTCCGAACAAGAGTCTAGTAAACATCCCGGGTATGATAAAATTTGAAACACGAAATCATAAATTATAATTTAATAAATAATCATAAAAAATAATAATAATACATTTAATTCAATAATATAATCAAACCAAAAACACTGAAATTTGAAATATAGCGCCAAGTTCGCACATCGCTGAGCAAAGTCGCAGAATCGTTTTCAGTGTCTGATGACAAATTTCCCCACGAATCATTATCACTCAATTCTGCAAGTGGTTCTGATTTACTATCGCTGTTCTCTAGCCGGTCTAAAACCACTTTTGACATAAAGGGACGCTTTTTGGACGCCATGAACTTTTCTAAGGCAGAAAGAACAGTCAAAATGCAGGCAGGGCACAGGACAAAGCACTCGGGACAAAATGTATGTGAAATGGTTTGAAACAGCAATGTTTTACTATGTAATAATAATTTTTTAAAAATGAAATTTTTTTTAAATTTCAAATTTGCCACCCTTCCGGCGCCCGTACGTGCCAACGTCACAGGGACCGCAACACAGAAGCCGGATGCCGGCATCGGCTGGAGGAGATGGCCGGGGACGCTGCAGGGGACACATCGGGGGAGCGAAGGACAAGGTAAGCGCTGCAGGGACTCCCTAGGGGGGGGGGGGGGGGTGCAACGCTGCATGGTAAGCCCGAGTGTAGCTCGGGGTTACCGCTTGTGGTACTGAAACTCTACCCCGAGCTACACTCGGGAATACCACTAGGGAGGTTAAAGCGCATCTTCACCCCATATCTACAACTTATGTTCCAAAAACAAACCTTCTACTGGTGTATGGTCTTTGAGAATTTGGTTCAGGATAAGCTGATTATCACTTGCGACAGAAACAATTGAGTAATGTCCGTGATACTTTTTAAATTTGCACCAACATAAAATTGTCAGGACAATATCAGGGTATGTCCCCTTCTTCAAAATCCAAGCAGTACTACTTCAGAAAGTTTTAGCAGAATGTTAAAAGAGACAATCTCTGAGGGGATGGGGGGGGGTGACAGAGGGGGTTGTAAAACTGTTGGATATTGAGTGAGGAATCCCATGTCTAAATTAGGGCCATTATTATTATTATTATACAGGATTTATATAGTGCCAACAGTTTTGCTCAGCGCTTTATAATATAAAAGGAGACAATACAGCAACAATACAGTTCAATACAAGAGGGTTAGGAGGGTCCTGCTCCTTGGAACTTACAATCTAAGAGGGAGGGGCTGGTGGTACAAAAGGTTAATAACTGTGGGGGATGAACTGATAGGAGAAATAGAAGATTTGGTTATAGCTGAAGGCAGGATAGGCTTCCCTGAAGAGATAGCCTAAAAGTGAGCAGAGTAGGCGACAGTTAGATTGGGGTAGAGCGTTCCAGAGGATGGGGGAGGCTCTGAAGAAGTCCTGGAGATGAGCATGGGAGGAGACAAGGGAGCTAGAGAGCGGGAGGTTGTGGGAGGAGCGCAGAGGACGATTTGAGTGATATTTGGAGACAAGATTGGTGATATAATTTGAGGCAAAGTTATAAATGGCTTTATATGTTATTGTTAATGTTTTGAATTTTATTCGTTGGGCAATGGGAAGCCAGTGGAGGGATTGTCGGAGAAGGATGACAGATATGAAATGGTTAGTAAGGTGGATGAGTCTGGCAGCAGCATTCATAATAGACTGAAGAGGGAATAGCCTGCGATGAGGTAGGCCAATGAGGAGGGAGTTACAATAGTCAAGGCGAGAGATAACAAGGGAATGAATAAGTTGCTTAGTGGTTTCAGTGGTTAAAAATGGGCGCAACTTGGTGATGTTGCGGAGGTGAAGTCTACAACATTTGGACACTGATTGGATTTGGGGCTGAAAGGACAGATGGGAGTCCGGGATTACACTTAGTACCCTGGCATGAGGGGAGGGACTAATTATTGTATTATTGATCTTGATGGAGAAGTCAGGGGAGGGGGTACAGGCTGGAGGGAATAGTATGAGCTCCATTTTAGATTTAGTTTGAGGAAGTGGAGTGACATCCATGCTGATATGTCACCTAGTAGGTTAGTAATGCGAGAGGAGACTGAAGGGGTGAGGTGAAGAGTAGAAAGATAGATTTGTGTGTCATCAGCATACAGATGGTACTTAAAGCCATGGGAGTTTATCAAGTGACCAAGGGAGGAGGTGTGGATGGAGAAGAGAAGGGGTCCAAGGACAGAACCTTGAGGGACCCCTACAGAAAGAGGAAGTGGAGTGGAGGAGACAGTGTTATAGGTAATGCTGAAGGAGTCCTGTGATAGGTAGGAGAACCAGGAGAAAGCAGAGTCTCAGAGGCCAAGAGAGTGGAGTTTTTTGAGGAGGGGATGGTCAACAGTATCAAAAGCCACAGAGAGGTCAAGTAGTAAGAGTATGGAGTAGTGACCATTGGTTTTAGCAGTTAGTAGATCATTAGTGAGTTTTAGTAGGGCAGATTCAGTGGAGTGTAGTGAGCGAAAGCTAGACTGTAAAGGGTCAAGAAGGTTGTTGTCGGTGAGGTGGGAGCTCAGGCGATTGTAGACTAAGCGTTCTAGGAGGTTGGAGGTAAACGGGAGCAGGGAGATGGGTCTTAGGTTGTTCAGATTGGTGGGGTCCAGCGAGGACTTTTTAAGTATGGGAGTGATCTGTGCATGCTTTAGAGGAGTGGGGAAGGCACCAGTAGAGAGGGAAAGATTGAAGAGGTGAGTGAGGGAGCATAGGATGGAAGAAGAGGGTGACTGTAGTAGTTGTGAGGGAACAGGCCATTATCTTTTGTATCAAATAGAAATATCATTCTTAGTTCAAAACAGTTCCAGCTTTTACCCCCAACACACTAGACAGGCAATTATACACAGTCAGGCCATCAGATACCACCGAATATGTTCAGACCCGGAGGAGAGATAAAACATCTCGGGACACTAGCAGACGCCTTCCATAAGAAAGGTTACAAGGACAAAACTATCAACACCAGCATAAACACATCCTAGAAAACCTGAAGAGAAAATCTACTCCAATACAAAGAGAAAAAAACAACCAACCGTGTACCTCTAATACCACATACAATCCAGCATTAGAAGGAAGAATAAAAATAATGAAAGATATACAACCCATTATAACAGAGGATGGAACTCTGAAAGAAATATTCCAGCAACCCCCAATACTGGCTTTCAGACAACCCCCCAACCTCAGACATAAACTAATCAGTAGGAAACTTCCTTCTGATTATGATGTCACAAATAATGGAAGCATGGTTGACCTGGATGGACTTTTGTCTTTTTTCAGCCAGACTAACTACAGTATGTAACTATGTCACAAATAATGGAAGCAAACCCTGCGTTAAAAAAAAAAGCTGCAAGCTGTGCAACCAAATTAATCCATCAAAAAGTGTCACACACTCAAAAGGGGTCTTCAATATCACTGAATCATACAGCTGCACCTCCAGTAATGTTGTGTACTCTATCCAGTGCAAAAAATGTAGCAAAGGATGTTATGTTGGGAACAAGGATGAATTTGCACAGACATACTATCACAGAGTGCCTGTGCCTCCCCCCACCCCCCCTGTGCCTGCTGTCCCCCAGCCTGTTGTCACCTCACTCCCCCCCCCCCCCCCGTTGCCGAGTCCTCTCATCCTGCCGCAGCCTTTGAAGACAAGCTGTGCAGGATGAGAGGAAGCGGCCCCTGTGGTGAGGATCACACCTCTCCCTGCAATATTGCCAGAAGAGTTGCGACCCCCCCCCCCGCCAGAAGACCCCGGCACAGTGCCGCTGACCTGTCTCTGCGCGCGCCCCCCGGCCGATGCAGCGCGGGCACGAGGTTCCCAAGCCCTGAGCCCGCCAGAGGCAAAGGCCGCACTCTCGAGAGCATGGCCCGAGTCAAGGGGGCATGCCTCATTGCCCGGAAACGCGGCGCTGGGCCGGAAGTTGCCAGGGCAACCGGGAAGCGTCCTGCTCGGCCCTTAAGGAGGCCGGAGCGGGACTCCCTGGGTGTCTTGTCCTGCTGCTGTCCCCAAAGCTGCTGGGAGGTCTGAGCTGAGGCCAGACCCCCGAAGCCAACCCTGCTGAACACTCTGCCTAATACCTCGGGGTAGGACTATTACCCGCTGCCACTCTGCCTAATTCTCTGGTTTCAGGAATATTACCTGCGGCTACTCTGCCTAATACTCTGGGGCCAGGATTATCCGCTGCCGCTGTGTGCCAGAAATACCTGCTGAGGGCCCAAAGATACTCTGCCTTATACCCTGGGTCAGGATTACTTGCTGCTACTCTGCCTAATACTCTGGGGCCAGGGATACCCACTGCCACTGTGTGCCAGAAATACCTGCTGTGCGGATTATCTGTTGTGTACTGAGGAGTGTCGCTGCCTGCCGCTGAGGGCCAGAACTATGAGTGTCCATACCCGTTTCCCCTGCCTGGACTGTCTGTGAATTCCCCTATTTGCCCTGCCTGGGACTATCCGTGAATCCCCCTACTTTCCCTGCCTGGACTATCCGTGAATCCCCCTACTTTCCCTGCCTGGACTATCCGTGAATTTCCCTATTTGTCCTGCCTGGACTATCTGGAAGTCTCCCCTCTCTTTGGATACCTGGACACTACCTTCATACCCTACTTGAGTGCTTGCCATCGTTTAATAAAGCTTTGTGTGTTTACCATCTTCCGTGTGTGTTCTGTCCTGCCTACGCTTCCGTCACACATACCATCAAGGAACATAAACAAGATGACTTCTGCACGCCTATGGGACACCATTTCTCACAACCAGACCACACTATGGAAGACCTCAATATCTTAGTACTTAAAGGGAATTAAAAACTATTCAGGAAAGGAAAACTTTTGAACAACGATATTTCTATTTGATACAAAAGATAATGGCCTTAATTTAGACATGGGATTCCTCACTCATTATCCAACAGTGACTGCCATCCCCCCAAGTCTGCTTTTGCTGTGTCTTATCTCTAGTTTTAAAACCATTGCTGTGTACATTTGTTTGTGTGTTTTTTCTGGGGGTTTTTTTTTCCCCTCAGAGATTTTCTTTTAACATTCTGCTAAAACTTTGTGAAGTAGTACTGCTTGGATCTGGAAGATATACCCCGAAAGCTTGTCCTGAAAATTTTAAAATTTTATGTTAGTGCAAATAAAAAAAGCATCACGGACAGTGCTCATTAAGTTTGTGCAAAAGAGTCAATATTTACATTGTTGACCCTTCTTTTTCTTTTTCAAGACCTCTGCAATTCACCCTGGCATGCTATCAATCAACTTCTGGGCCACATCCTGACTGTTGGCAGCCCATTCTTGCATTGTCAATGCTTGGAGTTTGTCAGAATTTGTGGGGTTTTTTTGTTCACCTGCCTCTTGAAGATTGACCACAAGTTCTCAATGAGATTAAGGTCTGGGGAGTTTTGTTCCCCAAGCCACTTGCTTATCACTTTTGCCTTATGGCAAGGTGCTCCATCATGCTGGAAAAGGCATTGTTTGTCACCAGTCTCTTATTGGATGGTTGGGAGAAGTTGCTCTCGGAGGATGTTTTTGTACCATTCTTTATTCATGGCTGTGTTCTTAGGCAAAATTGTGAGTGAGCTGAGAAGCAACCCCACACATGGTCTCAGGATTCTTTACTGTTGGCATGACACAGGACTGATGGCAGCACTCACCTCTTCTTCCCCAGACAAGGTTTTTTTGGGATACCCCAAACGAATGGAAAGAGGAATCATCAGAGAAAAGGACTTTACCCCAGTCCTCAGCAGTCCAATTCCTGTACCTTGTGCAGAATATCAGTCTGTTCCTGATGTTTCTACTGGAGAGAAGTGGCTTCTTTTCTGCCCTTCTTGACATCAAGCCACCCTTCAAAAGTCTTCACCTCACTATGAATACAGATGGCTTCACACCTGCCATTCCTGAGCAAGCTCTGCACTGGAGGTGCCCCAATCCGGCAGCTGCAGACAGTCCTGGTGCTTGCTGGACTTTCTTGAGCGCCCAGAAGCCTTCTTCTCAACAATTGAACCTCGCTCCTTGAAGTTCTTGATGATCCGATAAATGGTTGATTTAGGTGCAATCTCAGTAGCAGCAATAGCCTTGCCTGTGAATCCCTTTTTATGCAAAGCAATGATGACTACACGTTTCCTCGAAGGTTCATTAATATTTGTGTCATTCTCAAAATGTTTGGCCAGGACTATACACTTATTAGGATTTTTTTAACCAAAGACAATACATTTTGGCCTATATGTATGGAAAAAAAAAATGATTTATTGGATATGGTTTTTAACAGAAAGCAGCAAATATATTTTTCTAAATTTTCTGTCTTTTTTCATTTATATTATAAAAAATAAAGAACCCAGTGGTGATCAAACATCACCAAAAGAAAACTCTATTTGTCTGAAAAAAAATGGTAGAAAAGGCCATTTGGTTACAGTGTTGCATAACCACATAATTACCAGTTAACCACTTGCCTACGGGCACTTATAGCCCCTTCATGCCCAGGCCAATTTTCAGCTTTCAGCGCTATCACACTTTGAATGACAATTGCGCGGTAATGCAACATTGTACCCATATGAAACATTTAGCATTTTTTTCACACAAAAAGATCTTTCTTTTGGTGGTATTTAGTCGTCGCTGGGTGCTTTTATTCTTTGCGCTATAAGCAAAACAAGAGCAAAAAATTTGGAAAAAAAAGTTTTTTTTGTTTCTATTATAAAATGTTGCAAACAGGTAATTTTTCTCCTTCAATGATGTGCGTTGATGAGGCTGCGTTGATGAGGCTGCACTGATATGCAACAATGATGGCCAAAGACTGGGGTGTCACTGACTGGTGGCACTACTAGATGGGTGTCACTGATGGTGGCACTACTAGGCACTGATGGGTGGCACTGCTGGGGACAGGTGGGCAGCACTGCTGGGCACTGATCATCAGTGCCGTGGTGATCGGTGCCGATCCGTCCTCTGACAATTGCTGGTTATCAGCAGTACTTTCCTCACGCGAAGTGCAGCTTATAACCGGCAACTGCATTTAGCGTGATCTGCTGTGTCATTGGACACAGCTGATAACGTGGTAAAAGGTCGCTGTGATTGGCCTTTTACCACATCATGTGATCAGCTGTGTCCGTAGGACACAGCAATCATGGAGATCGCCAGGGGCGCGTTCTGGAAGGACGTCATATGATGCCCTCCCAGAACTGGACGCCCGTGCTGTATCCGTCATTTGGCTATAGCGCGGTTGGCAGCATATAATAAGGCTTCCCTGTAGGTAAAATGAATATCTCCCAAACATGCACCATTTAGGAGATATTAGCCCTTTTGATAGCCGACACATGCGCTCTGAAGGAATGCCATACCCTTGCCATTCCTTCAGAGCACTGTGACGCGAGTGACGTCATCTCAGCCAGTCAGCTGAGCAGAGCTCACGAATCCGGAAGGAAGACCGGGTGAAGATGAAAGCCCCGGGGGCCATGACAGCGTTTCGCTGGAGGGATTTATTTCAAAGTAAGTCCTTCATAATATTCCAGAATACAATGCACACTAGCACATGACGCCTTCATCTTGCAGGGCTGTTTTTTACATGTGGATTACTAACGCTTTCAAGTAGCGCAGTGCCAAATAGCAAAAAAAGAAAAACCTGGCCATGAAGGGGGTAAAACCTTCTGAAGATCAAGTGGTCAAAATGACATGAAGACATTGAACAGTATAGAGTTTAGAGATTGGGTTTCCATCAGGGGCGGACTGACCATTTGGAAACCCGGGCACTGCCCGAGGGCCCGGGGTCTGTAGGGGGCCCCATGAGATGCCCCTGGTACCTTTTTTATAGGCTTTTTTGAGTTTGGGCAAGGACACAGGGGCCCCATGATCCCGTAGCCCGGGCGCCCCATGAGTTGTCAGTCCGCCCCTGGTTTCCATAAGAACTCAAACTCCACCCCCAGTACGCTCACGGGCCTGCACCACTGTTGCCAGGGCAACCAAGGGACAACGTGGGCGGTGACAATTGAGAGCAGGCGTGTGCAATCAACGTGATATTAAACCCTGCTTCCGGTTCAGACGCCGTCAAGACGTCTGCAAGCAAACGTGGGCGGAGCTGGTACGCCCACATCGGTGACGAATAAGAGAAGGGTGCGCAGTCACATAGGCTGCTTCCTGTTTCCGGTACAGTCGCCATCAAGACGTTGGCAGTTAAGGGGGACCTCTGTTGGTCCGGCAGCCGTTCGCTATGAGGCGCCCGCTGAGAGAACGCGCCCAGCCAACTAGCAGCACGTCCCGCAAGAGGAAGAGTCGGAGCGCGGAGGCCGAGGAGGAGGAGAGCCTCATCCCCGACCTGGACGAGCTGCTGCGCAGTGAAGGGGACGCTGCGGCCTGGTGGACGGAAGACGTCGAGCGGCCTACAGACAGCTCCCTAGCCGATCTCCTGCAGCAGCTAGCCGCCTGTGAAGAAGTCCCCGAAGCCGAACTGTGCTGCCAGCCTGCCGAGGCCGCTCCCGCCCCTCCCAACATGGCGCCCGCCAGGCGCAGGGGGCCGGCCCGGGGCGACAGCAGGAACGCGCAGGCCGCGCGCCTCAACCGCCTGCGCAAGAAGGAGTACGTGAGCGGCCTGGAGGGAAAGGTGGCGCGCCTGTCCGACGACAACCAGCGGCTGGAGCGGGAGAATCGGAACCTGGGCCAGCGAGTGCGCCAACTGGAGGAGGAGACCAGCTACCTCAGAGCAGTGCTGGCCAATGACAGCTCTCTGTCGCAGCTGTTGGGGCGCCTGACCGGGCTGGGCGGGGTCAGGTTGTCTACGTCACTCTTCAGGCAGAGGAAGGCGCGTGAGCACGACTACGCGCTGCCCGCGGAGGAGAGGGAGCCCCCAGGCGGTGGAGGAGTGTGCCTGCACGTGGACCAGGAGAAAGTGTCGGTGGAGTTCTGCCCTGCGTGTTCCAGGAGTGCGGCTGACAATGTAGGGTCAAGTATCTGATCATGTGTGTGCTGGACATCGGAAGAGAGACTCCGTGCATGCTGGGTGTAGGCAGCCATCTGCAGATCCTTCCAGAGGGATGAGTGTAGGCTGTGGGGGAAATGCACTGACACCTCTGCTTTGTTTACTGCAATCTTCACATCCTGATGTCAGTGTATGCCATGTGCTGTCCGCAGCATCCCTAACATTGTCTAAACATTGCAAATCTAGGCTGCTACAGCCTCGACGCTTCCAGTGTAGGTGATTGCAGCAAGATCCTAAGACGCCCCATCAGTATAGGTCACTGCGGGAGTCTCATCGAAGAGCCTGAGCCCCGATCAATGGCAGCACGTCAAGAAAAGGGTGCCACAGAGAGTTGCCTTCCTGTTTTCCCTGCACCTCTGTGGCTCTTCATGTATCATGGGACGCTGGGAGTTCCGGCGTGTGTTGCACCTGCAGCTATAGACCCATTGTGTAATTGTCAGTCACATCGATGCATCCTTTTACTTTTTTAATTTTTTGGGGTTTTGGGAAGGAATGTGTGTAAAGGTTAACCTTCCCTTTAAGGCCCAATGAAACTTTCAGTTGGCTAAATTCCCGGTGCATCAAAACAAAAGGTGTACTAGTGAGATTTTCATTCTAAAGCAGCTGCAGCCTGAGTAGAAAGGCCTTCCCCTGTCCAGCATGCTGTGGAGAAGGCTCACACAATAAGAAACCGTCTGTACGACGAACGGTTATCTGATGGTAAAGTGCTTTCAACAGCAAATTCTGGCTTTTCAGGCAAAACCTGAAGATGCAAGTTAGAACATTTTTGAGACGTAAACACAATGTTCAATTTTCATTAATGTGTTCAGTAATCGTACGAAAATTAATCCAATAGATAAAGTGTATGCCCAAAAGCATAGAACAACCCTACTCTTCTATTACGCTAGTATGTAGCTTTGTTGGCTGAGATTTTTTGTACAAGTCAATTCCATCCCAACTATATCCTGATATGCACTTTTGTGGAAAATGGAACAAACGGACGTCTGATTTTCTCAGTGTGTGC